ATGACTTTCTTCTTTCAGACGAATCCAGTCGGAGTTATATAAAAAATTGTCTTTAATCTTTCAAGTTGTTTAATGCCATTTAGCGGGTGTTGCATGCATCACTCCAAAATAAGTTAAATAAAAAGCGCCCATCCATATATATATAAAAAAAGTGTCTCACATGGCTCCGGAGGGTGAACAAAGGCCTCCTGTAGCAAATCGATGCGTTTTTGTAAGAAAAATATCCATATTCAAAACGTAATAATCAGTAATAACAGTTGTACACAGAAGCAGCTCTTTGCGGATGACGTATGACGTAGGCGTTGCGCCGCTCAGAAGTGACGAACGCAGAAGCGCAGGGGAGAGATCAAAACAAAACAACGGTCATTTATTACAAGTACAAAACGAGGATTTGTAAATTTCAATATAAGCCAAAAGGAAACTGGGTTTCCTTTGCTAAAGTAAGGAAACTTTGCTTCCTCTGCTCCTGTTAACAAACGTTGGTTTTCACGAGACTCACCGGCGCATTCGCAACGCTGAACTCACACGTCATCAGCCTTTATCACTGCTTAAATACTATGAAATATGTTGCGTGCCTTATTCTGTGTAAGAAGCCACATCATCTCACAGAAGGATTTATTTCAAACACTCGACTGACGTTATGAAGTGAGTTTGGAGTAAAAATATGTTATTAAATGTGGTATTTTCACATGCTTTCAGATGGAGCAGCATTTACTTCACAGAGCCGTAGTTCACTGAGAAGCTATGCAAACAGCTGTCGTTATCACCAACGATTTCAGAATCGCGCAATAAAATCGTCTGCGATTTTTTTTGCGTAACTTGTCAGTGAACTACGACTCTGTGTAGTAAATGCTGCTCCATCTGAAAGCACGTGATGATGATTTCCTGCTGATTACAGAACCGGCTTTTTTAACAAAATGCGCACGACAATCGCATTCGATTAATCGTGCAGCCCTAGTGTCAATTATACAATCTATTAATCTATCTATGTATCAATTTCAAAATCTACCAGCAGCCTTGTCAATAGGTAATAAGTAGTTCCTGGTTTCAGTGTTTTTTGTGAATTTTGAGTAAATATATATTATGTTTGTTTGATTTCAGTAATTGTGTGTACAGTTGTGCCTCATTTGCTATCATTCAGTTAATTTGAATACAGTATACCAGTATTATATTGATACTGGCCACACTTCTCACTAGATTTTGTTATCAGCCATTAAAAAACTGGTCAAACACGACTTGTGTGCTAGCTCTGGGTCAAAAAGGGACAAACCCAGTGCTTTGCCCCCCCCCCCAAAAATTACAGTACAGTAACCAAAAATGGATTGGAAATTTAAATTATCTACAGAATGACTACAGTAAAAACATAATCAACAGTAATCATTAAAAAGTACATTTATTGATAAGCAAGAACAACTAGAAATGGACACAAATATGGACAAAAGTTAGTACCCGCCCACTTTTTCAGCGATGTTGGTTCCAGAAGTATTTTTTTCTATAAATTTTTCTATAAGTCTTTTGTTCATGAACCACTATTCATAAAATTATGTACAGTTGTTGATTGTATCTATAGAAATAATATATCTTACGCTTTTTGCAAAATATGCATATTTATACAAATATTTAATTTTGATAGCATAGGGAGGCTGTAAATTATGTCATTTGCATAGTGGGCGGAGCTAAAATTTGGCACACTTTGTTTGCTGTGACTGGTGGCATTTTCTAACAGCATTATGGGTAATGTAGTTTTTCACTACTAATTCTGCTATTTAACATGATTATTTGAAAAATAAATTGAATTAATGCAAATAGAGCACTAAAGCAAAAGCATATATACCATCACTTAAAAACCTAACAAGAGCTAACAACAGGTCTGCCTTTAAAGGTTTATCAGTTTTGTTAAAAATCAAATTCCCTATGGAGAAAATGAACGTTTTTACTTCCAGGAACCTGACTTTTACACTCTGTATTGAATAGTAGTTGAATATATTGCAGTCAGTTTCTCTCTTCTTTCCGCTTTGATTTGTTTTCGTCTATTTTCCACACATATTCCTTTCATGAGTGCTGTGAACATAGAAGGCAAAGTGATATCGGCACGTACTTTGCTTTTGAACCTGCGTGACGTTCATGCCTGCATTCCCAACCCAACACTGTTGTATTACTGATTATGAATGATCATCAACCCAAATGAGGTCAAATCAACCCAGCTTCCTTACCCAACAGTCTCAACCCACTGACTGGGTTGAGAAAATCACCCAGCCTTATAGACAACATGTGTATGATTTGTGTCTCTCACATAAAGGTCTTGCCCTTAGAATGTCACAGAAGTTAATTGTGGTCTCTCAGCTCTATCGTACTGTCTTCTCAGTTTGTTAGAGTGGTTCAGATGGATTACCCACAGACTAACAGTGACCTTCTACATGCTTAACAGTGAAGACATTTTCTGATGAGTGATAATCCTCTTTAGATGATCGCTGCCATTGCAATGGCCCCAAAATGAAAATTGTCTTCATTTACTCACCATCAAGTTGTTCCAAACCTGTATGAGTTTCTTTCTTCTGTTGAACACAAAATAAGATATTTTGAAGAACGTTGGTAACCATAGAATGGAAAAAAATACTATGGAAGTCAATGGCTACCGTCAACTGTTTGGTGACCAACATTCTTCAAAATATCTTCTTTTAGTATAGTAAAATATCTTGGTTGTGTAAAAGATGACAGAATTTAAATTTTAGGGTCAGCTGTCCCTTTACGGCAGAACAAATGCTTACTTTTTCAAGTTTAGTCAACTCCTAGTTAACTTGATGTATTAAGTGAGTTTTTTAAAATAAACTTAAATAATTTCATGACGGTCTCAGTTGTCAAAAATCTTCTTTGTAATTGCGAGTGTATATTTTTTTATTTCTAAGGCTGAAACATTTTTGTGCGACGGTAATTTGCCAGTATGGTGTAAAAGCTCAACAAGCTCTGACACAAACTGAAATACAATGATCGTTTGCATGTATTCCCTATTTGTCTTGCTACTTTTAAATATCTTTTTAAAACTTTTTTTAAATACCCTCATGTCATTGAAAACTCACTTTTTTTCTTCTGTGGAAAAATTATGCATACAAGAAAAAAAATCAAATAAATACAACAAATAGGAGCGGGTGCTGTCAAACTCCTAAAAGCACCATTAAGTATCATAGCAGTAGTTCATATGACTCGAGCCTTAAATTTGAAGTCTTCTGCAGTCATATACTGTATGATAACTTGGTGATGAGCAGACCATCATTTGTTATTCACTGATAATCAGCTTCCTCCAGTGCTCCTATATTGTTATTCAAACTTTGTGGGTGAAGAGATGAATCACCATT